GGCGCTGTGCATGCTTTCCACTACATTGTTCGAAATATATTCCCATAGGGAATATCAAGGAAGTCTCCTATTAATCGTAGAGTCTGCTAGTGCCACAAGTTAAGCCACAGCAGTGATTTTGCCGATGGAGGAGATTCCAAAAGACCCTCCCTTTGCTGCGTTGCGATGGATCACACGCACGCGCTGACGAAACTTGCAATGCAGGGAGATTGAGGGGGGGGGGGAAGTCAGCAATGCTCGAAGATTCGTCACACTGTATGCAGCAGGTTGTGGTGACTACTGATGGGTGGTGGGTAGCCTTGTTCTTTAAATTTGGCATGTATTTCACTGTCATTGTTTCTTCTTCTCGCAGGTCGCATCATTTTCTACCAGATGAAACCCTGAACCCCAATCCCTGAACCGATTTTACATTAAACACGATAATCCCAAAACCTCAACCCCAATTTACAACATAACCCCAGCCCAAAAACCCTGAATCCTATAGACTCTAACACCCCAACCCCGAAATCCTTGTGCAAGATATACGTAGTAGAAAGTCGTATTTCTATAGCAGCATTTACTGTCATGGCTTGGGTTCATTATCACCCCCCATTTACGTAGTTAGGGCACTTCGTGGTTTAGGGTTTAGGGCGCATGATTTTCTCAGAGCCCTAAACCCTAAACCCTAAACCCCTAAACCCCTAAACCCCTAAACCCTACACCCTATGAGCCCTAAGCGACACCGGAACTCCCCTATGATTACTTTCGAACAACGGCCGGATACGAGCTCTACCCATAGGCCACATAGTAGTTCCTTTTTGGGGGTTCATGTTTAGACTCCTATAAGGTAATCCCAAAAAGGAACTACTATGGGTAGGCAATGGCTGTCTTGGTGCGAGGTGTAATATAGGGGCCTAAAAGATTCCTGACTAAAACTGTATAGTAGAGGTTACAGCCAAGTCCTTTTCTGATATTTCAGGCCCCTATCTTCTGAGCCTGGAGTTCAACCCGAAGTTGTGAACCCGAAACCGAGCCTGGTTCAGGAACAAGCCCAAGAAGTTCGAGGAGAAGGCTGGCGGGGTCTGTTGAAAAGCTTGGTTTTTATCGTTAGAAGTTTAGGCTGCAGGTGCAGTGTGTGTGTGTGTGCGTGTGTTTCAATGCATCCTTTTAACTAAGATGTATGATTGTGCAATGGTGTATGCTGCGCGGCTTCTGGTGTCGCTCCCGGACACTCCTCTTTATATACTCATGTGCGAAGATTCCCCTAAATCCTAAACCCGAGACACTGAACCCTAAAACTTAAATGTACAGACGCATCGTATACCAAGAAGCCTCGGTCTGATTGCTCAAATTTCCACGATGCACTTGCGCCAAGCACCAATGCAGCCAGCACTACTCTGCACCGAACTTTTCCCAATGCCGATATGTTTTACCGATCACAGCCCTCCAAGTCCGCAAGAAGCCACGACTATTGGTCCATAAATCCCAGACCTTGCCCTAAACCCTAAACCCTAAACCCTAAACCCTAATCCCTAAACCTAAACCGCAAGATCTGCCTCAACGATCTTGCAGGAATGGGAGCATGGCCCGGATGTGGTCAACTTCGCACGCTACGTGCACAAAGACCTTTGCCTGAAGATCCTCCCTCTTGCCTGGGGTTCACGTTGCGTACTGTTTAGGGTTTAGGGTTTAGGGTTTATGTATTCCGACAACCGTTTTTTCCGGTAACTGGAGCACTAGGGCTTGTTGAAGGGCACGGTCGTAGAGTTTCCTCGGTATCTGATGGAAACACCTTCGGGCCGTAGTGGCACGGCGAATGCAAGTCAAGCACCAGTGTTTGTGCTCATCATACCAACAAACATTGCAGCGAGCTTTTGTCAGCAAGAGAAACTGTGAACTATGCACGGCATCCTTCCCAACACCACCAGCATCATCATCTTCTTTCACTTCATGACCATTGTCATTCGTACTCACCTGTATACCTTTATCATTCTCATTGAAATTATGATATCCTCGATCAGGTCATCATCCGCATCATTTCTATCATGACAATTATCGCCGCTGCCAACGTCGATAAACCTGCCCCTTCGACTGAGGACGCCGTCCTGGGGAGACCTGGCCCTAATTGCCCGGTGCGTTTGTCTCTGCGTGCGTGTCTTGCTTTTGGGTTTGACAAGTTGTTTCTTAAATATGCACTTGTTTTGCGTTAGCGGGTCAATGTTACAAGCGGGTCGTTGTCGTAAGGTTTGCTTGTGATCTAGAAGGGTTCTTACCGAGTTCTACTTTGTCATTGTGTTCATGAAAGGGCTCCGTCAGGTTTCGTGGTTCAATCCGATTTGACTAAGGTTGTTTTTCTTGAGAGCATTAATTCAAACCTACAGTATAGGTATCTTAGTAAAGAGCTCGTGTTTCTTGCGAAGGTCCGTCTAATATGAGTTGATGGAGCACGAGGTTTGGGTTTAGGGTTGAATGGCTGTTAGGACTTGGGGTGGTGGGAGGGGAAAGTTGGATTCTGCATAGAGCATACTGTCTGAATCATTAGCCGTACTGCCCCTGTAGTAATCTATAGTAGCGTGTGGTTTGCGCCCTAGCCGCGGAGAGGATTTCGTGGTTCATCTTGTTCCTGTGCAAGGCTTTCTGCATTTGACAGCTCAAGGTTTACGTTTGGGTGGATTTGGCTGTGGTTTTCATGTCCAGAGTGAATTATTATGTGTCAATGTGTCGGGCTTGAAAGCAATTTTTGTGGGGAGACTGTGTGGTCGTATGATGTCGCTCTTGCCTTGGATTGTGTTTTGCTCGCATCGGGTTTGAGAGCATTCGGAAGCATCAGCTTTTCATTGGTTTACATAGGAGGGCGGAATCTTTCTGTGCTAGGGATGTTTTCAACCCCAGACCCCAGACCCCCAGACTCCTAAACCCGAAACCATGGTGGCATAGTCTTGAGGCTTGCAACAGGGCTCTCGTTTGGGGTGTAGCAGCACCTGTCTCCTCCGCTGGGTAGATCAAGATCCAGAACATATGATGACCTTGGGTATGAGGCCCTTCATAGTGCGCTTACGATAGACTGTTACTGTAGGGGGGGGGGCAGGATCCGACTGATGATCCATGACTCGAGGATCTTGAAGCCCCTGCAGGCCCTGTCAGTTCGCAAAGAGCTCTAGAAAGTAAATAATTTTGTGGCTGATATTTAGGATCCTATAAGGTAATCCCAAAAAGGAATTACAATGGAGCCTCTGGATACCGATCACCGCGGCCGTCCTTTGCAAAGGAAAATCGATGATTTCGATGCTTTCCCTCTGGCACCCGACGAGCGCAGCTGCCAAAACCATTGCTGGGACCCTCGTTTTTGTTCGTAAGAGAAGTTGTTTAGGGTTTAGGGTTTGGGGTTTAGGTTTTGGGGTTTAGGGTTTAGGGTTATGCATACGGTTTTCATTTAGGCTTTCGATCGGACGTAGCGTCAGCCCGGGCAAATTAGTTCCCGTAGTGCAGGGCCACTGAAAATGCCCTGTCATATAGAGGTCGAAGTGATGAGGCTAGCGCCGATGGGTCTAGGGCGTGTGTAGACCACAGGGTCTTTTGCAACCGCAACAAGTTTTCTTATTGCACCTTTCGTCGGCCTTAGGGCCAAGCCACTCGAGTTCGAAAACCCAAAGCCCGCCACATGTCAGGACAATGCCTTCTGCTATCTTTACGTCTATCTGTCTGAGAAGGCCATGGAGACTTGCGTTGCAAACCCACTCGAGGGCGGTTCGAGTGGGTTGTTGTCCCTACACTCTGAATCACCCTCCTACAGTCAAGTAGCAAAACACGGTACCTTTAACTTAAGACGCTTAAGCTGAAGGAATTCAGTTTCAGTATGCTCTAGCCTCCAGGTGCAAGGGAGTCTGGCCTTTACATTCACCGACGGCTGCAGGCTTTAATCAGCTGAGAGGTACAGGTGCTCACGCATCTTCGCCGGCCCATCATGGGCCTTTCGGGCCTTATCTCCATGGCCCCCACTGGGGTCATGACCCCAGCAACAGTGCCGACAGAGAAGGATATCGTTCTGCCAGGAGACAGGCTCAGTCATAAAAGACAGGCTGCGTACGTCCTCATCTTCGGCAGTGGTGTGACGTCGCACTGGTGCTCTTTGTGGATCTTTGAAAGTGGGCAGGTTTACTCAATGGAGCTGACGGCAATCAACGAAATCACCGGATCCCGGTGGCTCCAGAGCCGCTACAAGATGCGCCGACTGCATTCTCGAGCCCAGCTTAAGGACGGCGTGAGTGCTCAGCCATCCTTTTCCCGTGCGCGCTGTCCACAAGCAAATGCTGAGAGCCTCCAATGCAGTGAGTCCGAGGGGTCCGAAAGTTGTGTCAAGGATCTCGCACTGTACGGCTACTGTGAGGCACTCTGTAGTTGTCTTGCAATGGCAGTCATTCGTCTCATTCGTCCTGGTGGGACAGCTGCTGTGCCATGCACTTGTCCAGTGACTTGTCCAGAGGTCGTTGAGCTTGTCTGGCCGATTGTCCAGGACTTCGTGAGCGCGAGCGGGAGCAGGAATTATGTAATGTCTGGCATGATTTGCCTTCGTGAAACATCGCCATATGATCTTCGCAAGAGCGCGAGGATGGTGCCTCTGAATACGTCCTTTTACGATTTGTTCTTCCACAATTGCCAGCTTTTCATTCTACAGCTTCTGTGTGGGCAATACGGCGTGGAGTTTGCGCAGCTTCCGTTTGCCGTAGGTTCGGTTATTGCCGGGCCTACCTTGCTTGTGTTGGAGGTCACCTTTGTCGCACTCTTTCATCACCTGCAGCACCAGCAACCTTGTGCGGCGATGCTGGTCGGGATAGCATGGGTTGCTACAGAAATCTACCTCACATGGAGGTACGTGTATTCGTATGACTTGAAGCCCACTAGTGGAACCGTCGTTGGATCGGTCAGCACAGTTCTTGTTTGGATCGTTATCTGCTCAACATGCAGGTGCCTCGGATTCGGCCTTTGCCGGTTCGATCCCCGTACTCAGTCTTGTTTGGGATATGTGCATGGTCGCTGAGGCGTTGACAGTCAACATGGTATTTCGAAGTACTGCATTGACAGTGGTGAACTTGTTGTTGGTTGCTGTGGCAATTATCATTGTCGCGTATCTGCAGTGGATTGATGGATGGCCCGTACGAGATCTCCTGCTGCCCATGTGCGGTGTGCCCATTGCCGTCGGCAACATCATGTTGGCAGCCTCGTTATTCTCCAGGGTTCCGAAAGCACCAGCGGCCCCGTTTTATGAGGATGATGAGACAAGCTCGGAGCGTGAGCACCGCCTGGCCCTAGAAGGCCAGCGCAACAAATTCATCTTGTTTGCGGTAGCACTGCTACTCGCGTCCTTCATCCTGCCCGTTGTAGCTCTGGTGATGACACTGGAATTCCTGAGCCAACTGCAGACCGGCATCGTGAATTTGTGATCACCTGGAGTTGTCCGGTGGTCCAAGCGGCATAGCTTGTTGTTCTTGTCATTGTGCCGATCTGGCATCACAGCGTGCCGCTGGCTTTTCAATTTTTAGTTGCAGTCTGTTCCACATGTGGTCAGCCCTCATATGCAGGCGCTGGACCGATGGACATTCGTTGTCACAGGTTTTGCACCGCCCTCACAAGTAGGTGTCGGCTTAGAAGGGATCCAGCCCTGCGCTTAGAAATCTGCCAGGAGCTTGCATGACACCCGAGGTTCACGGTTTGGGCGGTTTGGGGTATGCGACGTGTTGTTGATGACTCCTCGCAAGCGCGGAGCCCAAATCAGTAAGCAGGATATCCGAGAACCCAAAAGGGCTGGCGGCTGGCGAAATCAGACGGAACACGCAAGAACCAGCCAACTGCGCACCCCAAAAGACCCTTAAACCCGAGGCATGGAGGAACCGGTTCTGCATCACAGACTGCACCTTGAAATTCAGCTGCCTCCCCAGAGCATCTATCTGAATCTATCTTGAAACACTCAGATGACAGCCACACCCGACCCCTCAAAAGGAACCCTAACTCCTAAAGCCCGAAGCCCAAAAAACCCTAAACATTCAAACCCTGAACTCGAAACCACATCACACCCTCGGCCCAGAGGTTGGAAATCCCCTGGCGCGCGAGAGGTGTATCGTTTGGAGCTTGAAACTGGCAGAGGAGATGCTGGGTTTTGGGAGTTCGGGAACCTTTGGCAAGGGTTTCGTGGTTTAGGGTCTAGGATGTGGGGTTGAAGGTTTGGGGTTTAGGGTATTTTTTAGGGTTTAGGGTTTAGGGTTCCTTTAAAGGGTTTGGGGGTCTAAGGTTTAGGTTTCTCGGGCTTAGGGGTTTGCGGTTTAACATGGTCTAATCTAGGAGCCTACATGATCTCCAACACTTTTTTGGGGGGCCTTATTGCAGGTAGAAGACACCCCAAAAACTCTAATTCTAGTTGACAAGTATAATACACCCAAAAACCCTATTCGAATTTATTAGGGCCTTGTATTACGGCTTTTAGATCTGGGGCTTCAGGGTTCAGGCTTGCGGTTAGGGTTTAGGGTTTACAGTTTAGGGTTTAAGGTTTACAGTTAGGGACTCCAAACAACAGGCTGTCATGCCTCATGCCTTCCTGACGTCTGCCTCTTCCCGGCCCTTTGTACCACTAGCTGACTAGTTTCGGGCCCTTTGTACCACTAGCTGACTAGCCGGACTTTCTTTGCAGCAGGTGTGCTTTGGTTGGAAATTGGATGCTGGCTTGCAGCTTGCGAAGCTATGGCTTTGTTTTGCGGTTTCTGGCGTTCGTGCTTGGGCTTTTCGGGAAGAGCTGCGGGGAGCTTCAAGAGATGAAACAATCATTGGCGAAAAGGGTGCTTAAACGCCAAAAACATCCCCTAGTCCCCAACCGCGAAGACCCTATAAACCCTGAACGCTCCTAAACCTGAACCCTCCTAAACCGTTATCCCGTCCCCTATCACCGTAAACTCCAAGGCGCCAAAGCGAAAAGCCCGAAGCCCTGTGCCGGTCATGGAGTCCGAGACTGTCATTTAGGGTCTATACCCTAAGGGTCCATGTACCCAAATAGTAGAACATTGGCCCTAAAGTACCCAAATAGGGACTTGGGTACATGGACCCTTAGGGATAGGGAGGAGCCCTGATCTCCCTTTGAGGGTTCGGAATGCATCGTTTGACGTTGAGTGTCGCGTTCAGGCTGTAGTTGTTCAGGAATACCTTGAAACTCCCCACATCAATCATTGTCCCTTAAAATTTTAGCAGACTTCAAAACCCAGCAGTCCGAGATGTCAGGAATCGTGCCCCAAAGCCCACTAAACCCCCTCAAAGCCCTGACCTAAACCTTAGAAGCCCTGGACCCCGAGTCGTCCAGGATTCCGGCCGCGCCGCGTCGGAAACCTGGCTGCCGCAGAACGGCGCGGTCAGTGGTGACGGGACAGCGAATTGGGAAGACACGGAGTCTTGGGGCTTTGGGATTCAGGGCTTTTTGGTTAAAGCGTTGCTTTGTTTTGTGTGTTTGGTGTTTCTGGAGCTTGGGGCCATGTTTGGGGCTTGAGGGTGGAGGGTTCAGGGATGTAGGGAAGTATGGCGGGGGGAGCTATAATTGGGCTACAACGCATGCAATGCGAAGGCTTCGGGCTCCTCGTGGGGCTTCGGAGTGCGTGGCTTATAAGAGTTGCAGGCTCCAGTGTCTCGCACAGGGGTTTCGGGGTTTGCATGGGGGTTAGGGCATATAACCGTATCGTAGACTCCTACAGACACAGAAACCAGTAGCCTAAAGCCGGTAAGGGTATGCAGGGTTGGAGATGGAAAGCTTGGGCGAGCTTCAGAGCAGAAGAGGCGAGGTTACTTGGGTTCCAGCATTTGCCTTTCATCTTGCTTTTGTTCCCTGCCTGCTCCCCTTCCCAAGACGAACAACCCCCAAGTCGTCCAAGCCCCGTTTGAAAGACAGAAAACTCAAAAGCATTTAAGAGTAAAGTAGTGCAAAAAACATACGGTTTAGACTCCATTAAGCCATTAAGTCATTATGTTATCATCATCTACCCTATGATCAAGTAATACAGACGGGAATCTGAAATCCTGTAAAGCCTCGTCCTCTGCCTAGGCTTCAAGCTCATCCCGCGCGTGGCAGCCATCGAAGTCAAAGTGACAACGTCCATCGTCCCAGGGAGCGGCGACGTGGCTGAGGAAGTTTGGAGGTCTGAAGGGATTTGGGTTTAGGGTTTACTGGGCTCTTGTAAAGGAATGAGGCTTAGATTGCCATAAGAGGGGTCTATGCTAAATAATATAGCCTCGAATATCGAGGCTATAACTGCTCAGATTTTGATAATTTTGCAGATATTCAATTTCTAATTCATGAAAATTAAAACTCACCTATAAAGAAAAAATCTATTCAGCAAAAATTAAAATGGTTTCTTTGTTATGGTGACTTAAACTAAACCCGTAACAAGAACCTAGTTTAGGGTTTAGGGTAAGGTGCTTCTAAAGATTTAGGGCTTAGGGTTTAAGTCAAAGTTTTTCCAAAGATTCTAAAGATTGATGTTGCATGTTAACAAGTAGAAGAGCTCAAATGGTTGCTCACAACCCTAAAGCCCTAAGCTAGGAATGATACACCCTTAAGTGCTTCATGAGAATGAAAATGTCAGGTTCTTGCTTAACGGCCTTTCCCGCAAGGGCCCTGTAGCTTCAAGAAGAGGTCAAATACAAGGACTTCGAAAGGAAAGAGCCCCCTAAACCCGAAACCCCCATCCCTGAAACCCTAAACCCTAAACCCAAAACCCTAAACCGACCCTGAAACCCTGAAGGGGCTTCTTGATCAGCAAAGACCTTCGTAAATCCTATGCAACTCTACCTTGAGAACCCAAAAACCTATTTTTTGTAGGGTCCCTATAAATCTCATATTAGGGTTTATAATAAGAACCTACAAGAAAATGGGTTTTGGGTTCTTAAACCCTAAACCCTAAACCTTAAACCTGAAACCGATCCTTTCAGGTACCTTTGGCGCGTTCCAGCTTCTGGTCTGCGGCGCGCCGGATCTCTGTACCTCTGCACATCCAGCGTTTACCTATAGTCTGCCTGGTAGTTCGGTTTAGGGGTTTAGGGTTTAGGGGGGTTAATTAGGGGTTTAGGGTTTAGGGTTTAGGTTACCTTATATGATCCTAACTATAAAACTGGTGAAGCCAAAGAAGGAACTACAATGGAGACTGTAGGTAGGGCTCAGGGTCCAGAGAGCTTGGGACATAAGCGGTTTCTGACATTTGTCCTTTGGGGGCTACCTGAACCTGCGTTTAGGGCTCCTTATTACGATTTGTTTAAAGAACCCTTAACACGGTAGGCTCTTTCGGGTGCAGTTGCAGTATAGACCCTGAAATCCTACAACGGCTCTACAGGGCTAATTGCTGAAATGCAGCACCTCTACTAAACTTCTAGACTCGGCAGCCTAAACCCTTCCGCCTGTCGGATTGGAGGGTCTCGGTGCAGAGTTCCGGTAGCAGAGGGTCTTCCCTGAGTTTCTGGTCAAAGAACCTGAGACTCCCAACCTTCCGACCCTACTTGGAGGTGGGTGTATAAGGATCTCTCATCTTTCTTCCGCAGCTCTGTTCAAATCCGAGAAACCCGAGAGCCCTAAACCACAAGAACCTTTAACCCTAAGCCCCACCTGCTGATGGAACAGCGCCCTCAACAGGACAAATGCACGAGAAGAAAATCCCTCAACCCGAGCAGCCCTGAACCGTTAACCCTACACGCTAAACCCTAAACCCTAAACCCTAAACCTACACCCCTTCCCAGAGCATGCACTCTACAACCTGGGTCACCGTAACACTGCACTGTAAATCCGAGGCCCTATCTTCGCCTACCGCAACCCTAGAGCCGTAAAAGTTCCTCTGACTCGGTTTAGGGTTTAGGGTTGAAGCAATACTTGCAAAACCTTCCAAAGATGTGGGTTATGGCAGTTTAGGGGAGGCCTCAGATCCAGAAGCATGGGCTTCACTGCCCTAAAGCAAAAATACAAAATCGGGTCTTAGGTTTGGGTTTTCAGGAATGGAGATGAGGGTTTAGGGTCTAGGATTTATGGTGAGTGGTTGGGGTTTAGGGTTTAGGGTGATCCCTAAACCCTAAACCCTAAACCTGATGATGAGTGATTCGGGCGTAGGATCCTTATTCCTCTAAGCTGCAAGCGCTCCGGGTCCTAAATTAGCATCCCAGAGGCCAGGACCGGAAGCCCGTGCATTTGACGCCTTCCTCCTGCAAAACTGGTGCCACCTGGCCCATTGCGCGGTTTAGGGTTTAGGGTTTAGGGAAGAGATTCCCAGAATTCATCCAAGACTTTCAACCTAAATAGAGCGATAGGTAGGTAGGTAGGTATAAGGTAGGTAGGTAGGCAGGTAGGCAGGTCTAGGCAGATAGGTAGACAGGAACATTGCATACTCTAGACAGACTGATAGAGGTATAGATAGATAGATCGATAGGTAGGTAGCTAGATAGATAGATAGATAGATAGATAGATAGATCGCCAGACAGACAGATAGATAGACAGACAGATAGATAGATAGATAGATAGGTAGATAGATAGAGAGATAGAGAAATCTAGATAGATGGAGATATAGATAGACAGGTAGATAGATAGCTAGATAGATAGGTAGTTAGATAGACAGGTAGACAGGTAGTTAGGTAATTTTTAGAAAGCTCGATCGATAGGTAGATAGACCGATGCAGGTAAAGATAGCTATACGGAGACAGGGAACTACAGTGACCCCATGATTCAGTGCATGTGGATGTTGTTGTTTTCTACTTCTCCATGCTCATTTGCATATGCCCAGGCTTCTTGTTGCACGACGCATCGTTAGATTAATATGTCTATGTATACTGGAACCTTGGACCCACGTGGTAAAGTCAGGTGCATCCTGAGGAAACCTTACTCAGCCCTAAACCCTAAACCCTAAACCCATAGCCCTAAACCCTAAACACTAACCCTAAACCCTAAACCGCCGGAATCTGTTGGGTAAGATGTATGGTTCTTCCTTTTGGGGCTCCCCAATATCTTGACCGCACGAAGCCCCGGACCCCAGTCGAGCCTCTAAGGGTTTAGCGTTTAGGGCTTAGGGTTCAGGGTTTTACGGTTTAGGCTTTCGGGATTAGGGTTTAGGGTTTAGGGATTCAGATGGATTAGGGTTTAGGTTTCAGGGTTTAGGGTCTAGGGTTTAGGTCAGGGGCTGAAACCATCAACTGCACACACACACACACACACCCTACAATTCAACGCCTCAGACCATGCCAGCAGGATGGAGACGAGGATTTCCCATACACCCGGAGCCCGGAAATCTAGTAAGAGATTAACCTGATGCCTGATAGGCCCTAAGCCCTTTATCCTAAACCCTAATCCCTTCCTCCTCATTCTAAACCCTTATCCCTTCATCCTACATCCTAAACCTTAATCCCTTCATCCCAAGGAGGCGCAATGCATTAAAAAACCCTAAACTCTAAACCCTTCACCCTAAACCCTTCATCCTAAATCCTAAACCCTAAGCCCTAAACCCTCAATCCTAAACCCTAAACCCTTAATCCTAAATCCGGATCCTCCTCAGAGCTCTGAGGCTTACTGCCTGGGCACCGGAGCGACATCCGAGTTCGTTCAGCATCCCGGCTACAGTACGCTTGTGGCTGGCATGCGCCATCAAGGGGTTACAAGGGTCCTAGGTAATATTAGGGAGACCCCTTAAAGGGGACACTTCTTAATCCTACTCATTTTTCTCCTAAACTGGACTTTGTTGGGAGGGTCTATATCCCCAAAGGGTCCCCCTAATCCTAACTCCTAAAGGGGGGCAGGTTCAGGGGCTCCAGGGTTTCAGGGTTTCGTGGCCTTGGGCCTTGGACTGTATGCGATTTTTGCCTTTACAGCGGAGGAGTGTGGGATTGTACACATTGCCAACCCAAAGCCTTGAGTGCCTTCGGTTTAGGGTTTAGGGGCCTCAATGTAAGGTGTTTGGCTGTCGGGATTGAGTGCTTTGAAGCTTTGGTTTCGAACTGTGCGGGGGCTCCTCTACCCATACGTCCCTCATGCACACGCAGTGAGGTATATTGGAATTATGGGTGCCCCCGTGAATCGCAAGACACTTCAGTTCGCAGGCTGAGCTTGGAGGTAAGATAAAGGCTGAATGGTTACTAACATTGTTCCTTAGGGTTCCTTATTCTGCATTGTACTACAAAGCTTAAGGGGTCCAAAACTCTGTTCCAATCATTTGGACCCCTACATTATTCCGCTTCCTGTTCCAAACTTGGATGTATCGAATCATGAGCTTTGGGATCTGGCCATGGACTCCGGCGACGGTGCTGCAGAGCAGCCGGCTCGAATGCGCGAGGTGTGCTGTGAGTTGATCATATCAGTATTCGTTCTACACGGCTTCTTTATACCCATAGGCCCCTTGGGGTTCATATTTAGAATCCTATAAGGTAATCCCCAAAAGGTTCTACACGGCTTCTTTATAGATCGACGATGTTTGGTGCTATTTAGGGTGTCATCTTGAGTCTTGGAGGTTCCTTTTGAGTGGTTTCCGACGTGTGTCGTTCGCTTCTACAGGAGAGTTTGAATGAAGTACCCATAGGCCCTATAGTAGTTCCTTTTTGGGGTTCAGATTTGGAATCCTAAAAGTTACTCCCAAAAAGGAACTTCTAAGGGGCCTATGGGTATCTGGATCATTCTAGTCTAAACAGGGTTTTGGGCACCTTTACCTGATGCGTTTCCGTCTCTGCTTCAGGGTTGGTACAATAACTGCAAACAGATCGATCCTCTTGTTTTGACGCGGACGTGGAAGCAAAGACTTCTGGAACCTCTAGCAAAAGCTGGGATTTGGGCATCAGGCTACCGTGCTGTGTGCTTTGTTTCCGCAGGGTTGTAGATATCCAGTGGACTGTGTTTGCGTGTGTGTGTGTGTATGTCTGTTATGTTTTATATGTGTGCTCTGTATATGTGAGCATGTTGAAGCATCATCTGTTTACGTTTGCAACAGCACCGAAGCATCATCCATGTCGAACTGCAGCAACCCCGATCATTAAATCCGATCACCATGGCTAATATCTGAACTCCGGATGCCTTCATGCCTGCATCATGTTGGTTCTATTGTATTTATGGGCCAGGAATGGGCTGAATGATTAGTTATATGGCCCCCGTAGTCCCGAATATGGTTCGACTAATATGCCCCAATGCTCTATGCCAGGTAGTAACTAGTGCTTTCCTTTTCTCTTGGAAACCCTGAACTTAATATGCACATCGACACCCCTAGTTAGTGAAGGCATGTGAAGGCTTAAAGTCCATGGCGAGCTCAATGTTATTGTTCCTTGCCGCAGGTGCCGGCTCCCAAACGGAAGCAGCCTGGTGACATCTGCGACGACACCTTGCAGACGGTCCTCAGCATGAGCCACATGTCTGGTCAGCCGACAGCGAGGTCCAAAGAGCCATTGTACCCAGGTTCTTCGGGGGGGGCGGGGATGCACACGAAAAAGGGAACCGCAAGAGATACTCTTGCCAATGATCCAGGCCGCTTGATTATTTTGACCGTCTCCTTTCTTTTTGCATCCATTGATTGAGTCCTGGTACCCCAGTGACCGGCGTACAAAAAAAAGGACTTCATGCCAAAAGCTAGGATTTAGTATAGGGCCCTGTGCGAGAAGGTTGGGGCTTACATCGGTGGGGTGCGGATGATATGAGCCTTTTCTTGCTCGTTCTGCATGCAGAGAAATCCCAGCATTGAGTGCCATTCGGCTAAGGCAAAGATGGCGTCTCCACAGACAAGATTGCCAAGTGGCCCTGTGGCTGAACCATTGGCAAGCTGTTTGTAGCTACATGGAAGCCCTAATGATACTCAGATGGATAGCTAGACATGGTAGATACACAGATAACGGACATACAGGCACAGATACAAGGATATACAGGTAGGCAGGCAGGTAGGTTTACTTTAGCGACAATCAGATATCGTATCCCGAAGTACACTACTTTCCAGCCTGTTTAGGACTGGTTACCCATGGTCCTCAAAGCAGAACCCAAAGGCCTAGCCGTAACAGAAGCCCCACGGTAGGTAGGTAGGTAGGTAGGTAGGTAGGTAGGTAGGTAGGTAGGTAGGTAGGTAGGTAGGTAGGCAGGTAGGCAGGTAGGCAGGTAGGCAGGTAGGCAGGTAGGCAGGTAGGCAGGTAGGTCGG